CAAACTCACAGATACATTAAGTTCATCAAATCATAAGCACAGAAAGATGCAGAAATCTACACTACAACACATTATATTCAAATTAGTTAAAATAAGTGAAATAGGGAGAATCTTTAAAGCATCCAGAAGACATACTATTTACAGAGAACAACAATAAGAATGCTAACAGGAACAAAACAAGCCAGAGATACTAGAGTTAACATCTTTTAACAAACAGCAAAACAAAGTTCAGAAACCTAAAGTTTAATGTCTAGCAGTTTAAAAAATTGAATGCAGAAAAACACTTTCAGACATTCAAAAGCTGACACAACAGTCCTACATTAGATTGGATGATAAATACTTCAGGCAGATGGTAAATAACTGGTGGAAATCTACACAAAGAAAAGAACACTGTAAATGATAAAGACATGGGTAAACATCTTAGTTTTAATATTTCCTTAAAATAATTGACTGTTCAAAGTAAAAATAGTTAAGAACGTGAACACTGTATACAGATACAGAAGTAAAATATATCACAACAACATCAGGAAGGCCTTGGTGGGACAACATGGTGTCTCAAACATGGTGAGGCACAACTTGTGTTTATATAGTACAATGACCTTTTACATATCGCCAGTTTCAAAATCTTTTTCCTGAAGACTCCTACTTTCCACTCTCATTTCAGTCCTCTTTGTCACATACCTTAAACTTTAAGTTCAAAATTCACAATACAGAGTTACATAATTTGTTTATATTAATCTCATTATGATTCAATAATCAAATACAATAGAAGCAGTATTGTTATTTCAGCTTTTTTTTTTTTTTTTGGTACTGGGGATTGAACCCAAAGGTTCTCTACTAGGAGCTAAGGTTACAGGGATGTGCCACTACACCCAGCAGATTTCAGCTCTTGATTACAATAAAGTTCCACACATATTCCAAAATTATTAGAGGTGCTTTGTAATATATTTGAACCAATCTATTATTTTTAAGTTAAAATAATTTGATCTCCTTCATTTTTTCTAATCATATTTACCAAAGATAATATTTATAATACTTTTTACTATAATTTTATATTTAAATAATTTTGAAAGGTTCTTAAGACAACTAACAAATTTATTCGTGTTGACTTTTGTCTTTAATAAGGAAGTCACACACAGTTTGATAGGAAACTTAATCTGTTTCCCTACTACAATATATATTTTATGGTTATATCCAGTAAAGTGTCTTCAGGACTGTACATCTACAAATCAAATCAAGATCAATGTATAAAAATTGCAATAAAACATGTAGGATTTGCAATATGGGATTTTATGTGAATAAAAAGTAAATACATATCTTATATATGAGAGTACATTAAAATACAGCTTTGTTAATGAACATATAATCAAGAAACTGGTGGCTTCCAAAGTATTAGCGTACTCCAAAACTATATTTAAAAATAAACTTAAAAGTAGGCATATTAATACTTCTGCAAAGAAGATGAATAGCATACAACATTTTAATGGTCCTCAAAAATACACATTTATCATTGCCAAATTCTATTATGAAGTCCTACATCAAAAAGGTAATAACTTTAACCTAACTTACACTAAAGTACATAACAAAAAAGAAAAGGAACCATTTCAAAAAAGGTTATTATAGTAAAAGGATTATAAAAAGTTTGGTAACTGGAGATGCTATTCTGAAACTTATGCTACTAGTTGAAATGTACAAGCTCCAACTTAACAAATGTTTAAAATATTTGAGTTTTAAAAACAGTGCCAAAATAAACCACAGCTTTTCTAGAGATGACATATTTAGCTAAGCACGAGCAATATAAATCTTTCAACCATTTCATGTATTTGTTTAAAAGCCTCAGAAACCACGTGCATTTCCAATAAAACACGAACAAAATGCTGAAATCACTGGAGCTCAACAGTTGACTTATAAATCAATTTTTTAAAAAGGCAAATGTGATTTTCAGTCTGAATGGGTATATCTGTATATATGAATAGATATGTGAATGGTACATAACAGTAACCAAGAACAATAATATCTGTGAAAATCTGACTTCCATCCAAGCCATATGTGAGAAGACAAAATGTGTCATGGCTATTTTATCATTTAATGCCTTATTAATCATGACTATTTGAAAATGGTAACTTTAAAAAATAATTATGATCTTTAAAAATACTACATATAAAATGTTTTTCTACATATAAAATGTGACACTATTCAATATTAAAACTACAAATCTTTAATATTCTTTCTTGTGAAATAAACTAATTATATCAATAAGTGATGTGATTATAAAAAGATTTCTTAATTTTTTTGGGGGGGAAGGTTCTGGGGATTGAACCTTGGGCATCATGCATGCTAAGTCTGTATTCTGTCACTGAGCTAAATCTCCAGCCCTCTTAAGTTTAATTGAATAAGAAAATATACAAAGGATCAATCTTATCACTGAAAATAATATAAAATATTTCTTCTATAAAATATTTAAACTGTTTTAGTTACCTTTAAATATAATGGTTTATTTATAAAAGCAGAATAAAAATATTCATATTAATGATTAATAATTTTGCTACAACTGTCTGTCTAGACAGTGCTTATAACCAATAACTTTGCTTATATATAGTTTTATCTCTAATAGTTGTCCTAGGAATTAAAGCAAGTCTTGAAGTTTATACTACTTTATAAAGTACGGTGTTAGAATTTATCATCAGGCCAAATCGAAAATAGTCCAAAGCACTTCAAGGTTATATTTTAGTGATACCTGAAGTACAGCATGCTGCTACTATCATATGATAGAGAGGTGGTCATAATATGATGTTATCTATGCATACAGTTCACATTATTGTACTTCATAGAAAGAAATGTGTACAGTCTTTAGACGGTTAGGGAATTCATATATATGTGTATAAAATAAATGGTAGAATAATAACAAAAATTACTAGAGTAAAAATCTTTACTACATTTTTTTTTCCTAACAGAAAGGTTTGAAGACCTATAGTTGCATGGAGTATAGTTATAAGACCGTAGTTCTAAGTTTTAGCCAGTCCTTAGCAAGTTCCAAGATACTCTGTTTCCTCACGAATGGAGAGTTTTATAACAACAATAACACTAATACTAAAGCCCTATAATCATTATTATATAGTTGACATAAATAATTTATTATTATTATATGGTTATTGACAGGAGCAAATAAAAAAAAGATGTGAAGGATTTCATAAATCATCAAGTGTTAACAAATTTAGCATTTTTTTCTGCCTTTCCTCTGGACTACTTATTTTTACAAGAAGTGAATTCTCATGTTACTAAAGGAATTACACTTGATGACGTTTAAAGCAAACTCACAGCAACATTGCTGAGCAGAATGAAACACTTCTGGATTTGTGCTAGGATTGAATATGTGGCTACCTGATTTTCAGTGAGTAAGGCTATTTTTCATACAAAACAAATTTTGACTACTTGAAATATGTGTTGGTCAACATTTTTAACTTAATAAATCAGTTAAGACAATATTTGGCTGTAATACTTTGCATTTGTTAATTTTGCAGATAACTAAGTCATTTTCAAGGGACTGAAACTCATTTTCAAAGGGATGGGTTATTTTTGGGAGATTATCTATGTTGAACAAAAGTAGATATTAGAATTGTTTTGTAAATTTCACTTTATAATCATATTCTGTAAAACTTCACAGTATTGATTATAGGAATTGGTTGCTCTAATTATATCATTTAGGTATAGGAGGAGATGTTTGGAAACTGAAAGATATCTTGATATGGCCCTTCATGTACTTTAAAATTCCAAAGTAACCCAAGGAAAGTTAGTCTGTTCTTCAAGACTAAACTGAAAATTCAAGTTTACTTGTGATTTCTTTTAAGAGGGTTTAGGAACAAACTATTTTGTGACAAGAACTGTTCTCTACTTACCTGCATCTCTTGGATGATTTAAAGGGTGCTGTTTCTTTAAACAAGGAGTTTTTAGGGGTTTAAATTAGAGCCCAGAGACAAGACTCCATGTATGTTCAAATTATTACACATGTCTATGTTTATATAGTCACTGGCCTATGATTCTTTTTAGAACTATAGGGCAAATCCAGTTAGTTTATTTTTAACCCCGTTGTGCCTTATTTTCAAATTATCATCATTTAAAAAAATCATTACAAGCAGGAAACATGAGTAAATTCCAAATTTTAATGCAATGGGATAATTTTGTCAGTTAATTTAATAGCTACAGATTTACTAAGGAAGGAATGGGGTGTATTTAGCATTATGATTCTTCTGTCATCTATGACAAACACTTTAAAATTTCCTGCAAAGTAAATTAAATAATGGATAATCTCTAATGGCATCTTAAAAAATGACACAATACATTGCCCTGAATATACTTATCCTGAAAACAGGCAACAGTATCTAGTTTAGCACAATCTTAAAGATAAATTAAAAATGCATGTAAATTTTTATTTGTCTACAAACCTTTCACTAATCCAATCTGTTTGTTTATTTCACCCTGTTCCTGGCATAGTCATTTCCTATTGCCCTTTCAACTTTTCACTCTAAAACAATGATGATTTTTTTGTATAGCCAAATATATAAAGTTTCAGTTTTATTCATGACATCATATGAGTAGAAGTGATGGCTATGCTTTAACTTTTAAGTTACCTCTTAAATGTTAATTAAGTTAATTCTTACCTCTTATATGAAATAAAGACAACCTGAACCAAATGCAGGTTTACTTTTGTCTAAGTCCTAATATTTGCTCATTATAATTTTATGGTATATTATATACTGAATTCCCCTCCTTTACAACAAAATTCAAACAATAATCTATAAAAAAAGATAATCAATAAGAATACTTAGTAGATTTGATGGCTTCTTGCCTTTTCAGATAGAGACATGCTGGCACATGCTAATTTTCAAGACAAAAGTGTCCCAGACCATTAGACAGAAACTTGGCAATTTCTACAGCTTAGGTGGAGCTTAGATAATTATCCAGTCTTAACATTAAAAATACTGACAATATGAATTTATAAGTACACATTAATAATCTTCCATTTTATTGAATACAGTCTGTATTTATTTTTAGTAAAATAAAAATCATGTCCTGATGAATGTAATTTTGATGTACTAAACTCTCATTAAAGCAAATTATACATTTAATTTGTGGCATCTATTTGTAATATTCTTTAATATTAACAAAGATTACATACGTACACTAAAGGAAGATTACAAACTCATGTCTGAACATCCTTCTTCAGTTACGAAATATACTCTATATTGGAAAATGCATTTATTTGAAGTTTTGACCTAACACAGTGGATTAAGGCTTAGACAATATTTACTTTGCTGCACTTTGATTCAGAGAGGGCCATATGTGAAGATATGATCCTGACCAACTTTACCATGTTTCTATAGTGGTCTCTCAGTAAAACAATTTATATCTCTAAATAAAAAGTTGAGATATAAAATAGCCACTACCTTATAGCTACCCATTGGTAAAAGTCTATAGTTTCATATATTTGGATAAAAAACTCAAGTCAGCAGCAAAGTGGTTAAACATTTGTGATTTGATTTTTTTTTCTCAGCTTGGAATGTGGTTGGAGTGTCCCACTTCTAACAACTGTTTGCTAAGTTAAGGCTTTTAGTGTTTACACAGTGTTGAATGAAGCAGCCTGGTCACCAGATGTGATCGCTTCCCCCAGACTGTCGTTTTTTTTTTCTGTCAGATCACTGTCCTCATGGTCCCTGTTCCAACCTTCTTCCTCAGGACGTCCACCAGCCTTTCTAACCTAAGTTGGGGGCAGGGAAAACAGGAGGAAGAAAAAAAGAAAATAAAAAGTACAGTTATTGTCAGGAATGATTTGGCTGAAAAAGAATAGTATTTGCCTGTGACCAAGCAGTCCTGGTAGTCATGTTAAGAAACAAAGCATCACTGTAAATGAGAGGCACTCTTGCAGAGTGCCAAGGATTTACTTTAAGTCAGATCTTCAGATTATGCCAGTGTTAAATGCTCCAAAATATATAGGATATTCATTTCAAGACATTTGGCTACTTGCACTAAGGTTGTGAATGAATCATTTACTATGCAATGACAGCATGGCATATTAAGTGTAGAACCAGCTTCAAACTGACTTTTACCTAAGAGAAATATATGTATCTTTTCTTTTTCTCTTTCTTTTGGTGATGCTGGGGATAGAACCTGGCTGGCTAAACAAGTACTCCATCACTGAACTACATCCCCAGCCTCAGAAACATATTTCATATAGACATACTAGCAAGCTTATCCCTGTTACTTAGCTAAATAAGCAATACATTGGTTGGCATACTGTATGATTTTTTTTTTTGAACCCAGGCCTCATGCATACTAGGCAATCTCTCTTCCACTGAGCTATACCCCTGAACCTACTGAACAATTCTTATACATTAAATTTCTTTCTTTCCCCTAGAGTCAGCTGATGAAAATATAGATAGAAATTAGGTGGTTAGGTAGGGAAACTTTCATGTCCCAAAATATTTACAAATGATTTGACACTAGTACAACCAGATTTTCTGTACTACATTTTAAAAAAAGTTTCTATTCCTGAGTAATCAGTCTAGGAATTACCTTTATAGCTTTTTAATCAAAGAAGTATAATATTTTTAGCTGATTAAAACCTACCAATTAAACTGAAAATAGAGTCAAAAGTTCAGAAGTCTATTCTGCAGTGCTCTTAGGCTACTCTGTGGGTGACAGAACACATTCATGTGGATCAGTGAGAGTTTTGCTTAACAAAAGATCATGGAAACAGACCATTAATTGGTTTCTTCTTTTATTTTCTTCACTGAAAGCATAAAACCTCAACCAAAAATCTTACTTGATATTACACACAAATAGTCTTCCTTATAAGTGAAAATCATGCCCAGCAGTTTTCAGATAAACAATCCTCAAAGCTTGGTGAGCAACATAGTCTAGTCTACTCCACAGTTTGCCTCATTTATATGGATCCATGCATGAGGGTCTTTGCAAATAAACACAGTACAGAGCTAGACACTAAAGGAATGAGAGTATTCTTGGTGTCAAACATACTTGTTTAGACTATTTGAAGACTTTCAGTAAGGAATGAACAAATCAACTGCATAATTCAGAAAACTAGTTCAGGTTTATTAGATGATTCTGCATATAGCAAAATTCTGTTAACAGAAAACAGGAATATTTCAGTGCATCAAAATCTTTGTCTTAAATAAAGTAGTGATCTTAGAATAAAATACAAATCTTGCCTGTTTATTACTATAGATTTCTTGACTATAAATTATACATAAATATTATATATCTACTAAGACCGTCTAGAGGTACTACTAGAAGATTCATGGAAAAATTCACTGCCTTCATAGATGAATCTATATTAGTTGAGCTTTTCCTCATGGCAAAAACTAGTGCTATTTGCTACCTGAATATTATACACTCTGAATATTATGTTTCATGGGACTGCAATGAATCCTTTTAGGCAAATTTTTATAAACTTTAAATTGTGGATGTGGGGGATAAAAATTTTAGTATAAATCACAAAACTACACTGTAAGTTTATTGCTAAACTCTGATAGTAACTTGAATGAACTGTTAACACAGGTTCCTGGTAGAAATCTTGACAAGCTATTATTAATACCATTTTTTTTGTGTGTGTAAGAGTCAGAAAATATTGCTTTCAAGTTGGTTAAATACATTCCGTCCTTATAATAACACTGAAGCTACTAACTAGCTAAAAAAAACACTTCTTCATAATATAAAAATAAGTTCTACTTGTGATTATTATTACTACAAATTCAGAATCATTGGAATACCAAATTACTGAGATGAATGTGTATTGTGCTTGTTTTGGCTTCTTCATAGATAGGCTTGTCTTTCGTTTCCTTTTTATACATTAGGGCATTTTTTCCATTTAGAAGTCTTATATCTCTCTAAGGTAAGAAACTAGGAGGAAATACTTAAATATCATGCTTTGCAATGTCTCCACTGTATTTCAACAATTACTAGATCAACCACATTCTCAGTTTATCCAGGTTGAACGATTTATGAAAATTTGATCTCAGAAATGAGAAAAATGTCAATTACTTAGTTTTGCAAAAGCTTACTGACTTCTGAAATACAATAAAGCACCTATTCCTTCCTGTAAGGAATGGAATACACCTGCCAAACAGAGACTCTGCCAACAGGAAGGTCGGTGTGTGTGTCTGCTGGAGCACCTTGCAGGATTTGCCTGCAGGCTATTCTTCACTGTCCAAATCAACAATATCTTTAAGAAAATAATATAGTTCACAAAAATAGGTTCCAAGTGCTTTACATACTACTGAATGATTTCTTCCAAAGAGCTTCATGAAATAGAAAAAAAGGCTAGAGTTAGGGCTAAGAGCACTAGTTTTGGTACAATTGCATAAGAGAATTATTGACTAGACAACTTTCTCTCCAGCAAAAGCATTCCTATTATTTAGTTGTTCCCATCAAACATGTTTAACTTTTTAAAATCCTTCTTCAGCAGAAGGAACAGGAAATATCCAAGTGAGATGGATAACAACCATCCTTCCAGCAGAGAAGACAAAAATCACTAAAAATGCTCCACCTCAGGAATGTCATTAGTATCAAAGGACTTGTTCTCTTTCAATTATGGCAGAAGGATAAGAAGACTTAAAGTGTGATATGTTTTTTTCTTTTACTGCTATGGCTGTTCTGTTGGTCTTTTTTATGTTGATGTGCTTTATCATTCTTCTTTATGTCTTTTCATGCATGCCTCAGGAGATATTTGCTCCTTTGATGTCACTTAAATGATCATGACTTCCAAATCCAGAGCCCCCTATTCTAAAATTCTCTTGTGTTTCAGACTCACATATGCAACCGTTTTCAGTATATATCCTCTTGCTAATACCAGCATTATCTAAACTATGATACTCAGCATTAGCTAAACTAAAACTTAATACTTTATCTCCCACACATATTTCTGTCTTTCTTATCTTGATTACTGTGATCATTCATTTACTCAACCTTTACACTGGAAAATTTTTAGAAAAACTTGGTATTTAAAAAATTTTTTTTCACTCATTTCAACTTGAACCTATGAAAACTCAGAAGAAATAATGAAAACATTCCAGTTCATCTAAAAATGTCATTTTCATTATATATATATATTTTTTGTTCAGGTACTGGGGATTTAATCCAGAGCCTTGTATGTGCTAGTTGAGCACTTTGTTATTGAGCTATACCCCCAGCACTCATGTGAATTTTAGAAAGATTACACTGGGAAGAATGTATAGATGCAACGGAAACTTACCTTAGCCTAGAGGTAAGAACACCAGATGGCTCCTTATTAAAAAAAATCCTGGGGTACAACAATGTGAATGTACTTAGTGCCACTTAGTTAAAATGGTAAATTTTATGCTACAAATATTTTACCACAAAATATTATAGACTTGAAGAGCAGAGCAGCAATGTGAATGGGAAGAAAGAGATAAAAGATATCTAGGTTACAGGATTAAAAAGACATGAAGGCTGACTCCCTGGTGTCTGTTCTAGGTAAATAGTGATACCCTAACCAAGGCAATGGAGAGGAAAAGCAGATTTCTGCCGGGGAGAACATGTGTGTGAGGATGAGTTCATTCTGTTACTTACATTTTAAGTACTGATGAAACATGTAAGTGAGGATGTTAAATAGGTGGTTGGATATAAGAGTTCTGTTAAAGAAAGAATTTTATATAGATTTCAGCTGAGTCAATAAGTGTTTAGTGGGTAATTCTTATGTAAGAGACATTGTTTTAGGCTTTGATTATTCAAAGAGCAGGTCATGGTTCTTGCTTATAAGGATCAGCAAGGTGGGAAAATAGATCTTTATACGGTTAACACCAATACATTATTGGTAAATGCTGTAATAAAAGAATAAACACAGGTATTAAATAGAACCTAGCTTGGAAAGGAGAGGAGAGGTCTGTAAAGGTTTCCAGATAATGACTGTTAAGTTTTAAATGAAAAGAAGGAAATTATCACCTCAAAAAAAGGTGGAGTGAAGACAGGGCTAGGATGAGCATTTCAGGCAGAGGAAATAATTCATGAAGGTTCAGAGGTGGGAAAAACTTGATGTGTATCAAGCACAACCAATGGCATCATTTCTCAGGATGGTGAGATAAGAGGTGCAAGATGGCAGGTGGGTAGGTCAAGAATAGGTCTTATTTTGCTCACAATTAAAGCCATGGGAATGGAAATGTTTAGAGAGGGAAATAAAACAGAAGAAGACAGTGAAAGAGGATAGAACCAAAATGAATCAAATATGTAAGAGAAAGAAATTAGGGAAAGAATTTGAGAAAGAATAGTCAGAGGAGTAAAAGATGGACAGAGAGTAGAAGTACAGAATGGAAAGATGAGAACTTCAAGAAGGGAATGATCAATAAGGTTAAATGAGTGCTTAAATAAGATCCAAGTGAAAAATACCTATTTGATTAAACAGGAAAGGATAACCTTTTCAGTGCAATTTTAATGATTCAATAGAAGTGGGATGAAGCATGAGTGGAATGTGAAAAAGGAAAGGTGAAGGATAAACCTTTCTATAGGAACTTGGCTAGAAAGTAAAGAGGATTATAGTTATAGGAAATGTTTGGCTAAGGAATTTTTTTAAAAAATGGAAAATGTGAATATATTTGTGGATTATGGAAAAGAAGACTATGGAAAGATTATAACATAAGGGAGAAAGATGATATTTTTTAAAGTAGGGTCACAGAGGATGGAGTCATAGGCATGATTTGTAGGATAATCCTTTAAAATATGACTGGA